GATCAATTTTCTTGTTATAAGCTGAATAAATAGCGTAGAGGCTATAAGGTAATGAAATACACAGAATCTCTTCAATCATTCAAAGGGGGGGGGAAATCAAAACCACAATCACTTCTCAAAATGCTGTCAATACTTATTTTCATCCCAAATCTTTCACACAGTGTTGGTGATTAAACAACGAGAGCATCTTAATTATAAATCTGGAAATAAATTCCGTCCTCCGAAATGAATTCAACAGATAGTCTAATGTGATCTGAACAGAAACAAAAACAACTTCAGTGAGAAATGTACCTCGCCGGAGATAATGAAAAATCGTCGGCTCTGCGTCACTCGATTATGAACACCGTCGCCGGAGCCCTAAACCACGAGAAATGACAGATTTAAGAAGAAAGCAACAATTCAGGGAAGAGAGGAAGTGAGGGAAGAAGGGTTTAAGGAAACCTAGTCCCAAGTTTCGAATTTTTTTTCTATAATTATTTTCATTAAGAAAATGTTTTATTTTACGGTTTAATTTTATGTTAATATCCGGCGTATAATTTCACGCTTTTTTTTTTTTTTACATATATTCACATGTTTTTTGTCCGATTATTCTGAATTTAAATCATTAAATAAATAAATTATTTTTTGCAAATTTATAATTATAATTACTTAGGATTGGTTACTTATCAAAAAAAAATTTACTTAGGATTGGGATTATTTATACTTGTAAATAAGATAAAATGGGCCTGGACCCTTATTATATTTAATCGGGCCCAATTAAGGTAAAATTTATTCAAATTGGGGCTTATGCCCATTTAAAATATTCAATACAATAATGAATTAAATATTTATAGGGCAAATACGGTCACCCCTGAGTTATGGTCAAATTATGAAAACCTTCTCTTGCTTAGGGTAATTACAGTCACCCCCTCAATTATATATTATCTTACGAAAAGACTCCTCCAGAGGTAACTTTATGGATGTTAATACGGTAAAACCGCAGCGAAATTTCGGTTCTCCAACATTTCACACGGTTTACCGAACTAAATATACAATCTTTTTCAATAAATAACCGAACTACAAAAATTTTATGTAAAAATATTTAAAAGGAGAGGGTAGCTGTAATTACCAAACAAAATGAGTTTTTTCATAATTTGACCATACTTCGGGGTTGCCTGAGATTTTTGTTTAAATATATATAGATATAAGGGTAAATTACAACCACCCCTTAAGTATGGTCAATTTACAAAAAATCCTATTGTTTGTATAATTACATCTACTTCCTCAACTATGATTTTTTTCTTACACATCCACCCTTATGGTGTTAAATTCAACATAATCATCTAAAATTCGTGGAACGTGCTCTAATTTGTCCTCATTTTGTGTAAAAATACAGTTTCTTATGCACCACAATCTGATATATTCAAGCCAAAAAACACATATTATGATCATCTTGCTTCAAAATGTAGAGTTCGAATGGGATAAAACGGGTACAAAAGTGATATATTCCATATAATCTCGAAGATTCCACTAAATTTGAAACCGTAAGAGTGGACGTTTAACAAGATTTATAATTGAGGAGGTGGTTGTAATTATCCAAACAAGAGGAATTTTTCGTAATTTAACCATACCTCAAGGGGTGTTGAGGTATATAATTACCGAAAAACTCTACAGATAAAAGCGCTTCTAAGCTTTTGATCCCTTTCCCAAAAGCACTTTTCTTAGGGTATTGCAAACACTTGCACAGTACACTGTAGCAAATTAGCGTGTCTTTGCCCAATTTTCTAAAACCACGCTTCTGAAAAAAGCATTGATTCGAAAAAGCTCCTCAAAAAGCACTTTCAAAAGCACTTATTAAAAAAAAAAATCAGTAAATTACTCGATTTTGAAACAAATCTAACTCGGAAATAAAAAAAACATATCAATGTTCACTACTGAACTCGGGTTTCTGTTAAGTAACAACTTTAAAAACTACCTTCGCTATAATAATAAATTAATAATCACCAAATTTAAACCACTGAAAATATATATATGTTATATATATATACACATAACAAGAATAAAACATATCTAAATGCACAAGAGTGTGCATGAATCACACCTATCTCAACTCTTTCTTCTCCAACACAAGCCAATAAATATTCTCATATATATATATATATATATATATATATATATATATATATATATATATATATATATATATATATATATATATATATATATCTTCGTGGACCAGAGAGCTCCGTGCTGTGAGCATCATAGTCATCATCCATAGTCATAGTCATACCACACACGCTCGAGTGATCGTGGTCCGTGTCATCGCGCGAGCGTGACTTTCTATATTTATTATTATTACCGCGCGAGATATTATTTAAATTCGAACTCGTGTGGATATAGTTACTATTATTATGTGCCGCCGCCCATTTTTCTGCGAGACCGTCGCCTTCGAGCATTCTTACACCCTCAGACATTTTGGGGCGGGTGGCCGGTGAGTACTGCGTGCAAAACAGACCCACTTGCAGCACTTCTCCAACATCGATCCGGTCACACTCGGTGACTCCTAGTTCCGTGTCCACAATTTGCTCGATTTTCTTTTCTCGCTGTATTTTCTTACCCTGCCATGCAGTTTTTTTCGATCAAGTATACCTCGTGTTTCCGCGATGTATTTTATGAAAAAAAAAAAAAAAAACCCCGCGGGGGAGCTAGCCACTATTATGTGCGTTTTATTGCATTTTAGCCCCCGTGTGTTTACTCTAATTGTCACAAAAAAACACCTCGTATTAAATATATTTAGCAAACTCCCCCCTCGTAATTCATTTTTATTAGCAAAT